TCACCTGCAAGATGTCATCCTAAAAAATAAATTATACTGTATGTATTCTAAAATGGCATTTTTTTACTATTACATGAGGTAAATATTTACAAATTAAATTACAAAAAGGTGTTGTTGCATTCTGATGATGCATATGATCTTTCATTAATTATCTGATTTCATTCATCATAATTATTATAAAAACCTCACTATCTATCAGCGTAACATAGAAATTCGTCTAAAATTTCATTTTATTTCGACAACTTAATTTACATTTTGTAACGGAATTTTTTTATAACATGAGTATCGTAAATAAAATACGCTTCAAACGTACGAGTGCAACATTTCTACTAATATTACATAATATTAGAGGTAACTCCTCTTTGTACAGTTTAATTTTATTTTATGGTTTTTAGATCAGATTTCCATTTATTATTTTTTCATATGTTGGATTGCTTCTGTTATACATGTTTTTACTTATGTTTGTTGTTACATGCTTGTTGTTTACTCTGTCCACTTAAATTAAAAAATTACTATTATTATTATTAATTTTTTTTTACTTGCTTATCATTTCGATGCAATAATTGTTTTTTAAATTTTTTTACCAGCCGGTATAGTTTCAAAATTTACATGTTTTTATTTTTTCCTCTGTTTGATTGATTATATATATATATTTAAAAGACGTGGATTAAACTGATTAACTGATTATTTTGAGAATATTTTAAAGTTTAATGTGTATCTTTATTGTTTTAGAAACAGTTAATTTATTCACGTCTTTTGTTGCACCAAAGCCATGACGACGATGCAGCGAAAGATGTAAATTTCTTTTTTTATTTTTGGTTTTGGCATGTTTTCCTCTCTTTGCCTTATACACTGGCTATCATAAATTAAGGAACAATCACAAAAATAGTGATAACTCCCTCAAAAATTAGCCAAACCGTGTAAAATTTGAATGTGTTGCCAGGTAAGAGTAGCTGAGTAAAACTGCGATATGCCAATTAGTGGCACTGCTTTCGAAATACGTCATCTGCGAGGAGCAAAGTCCATTTTTGAGAGCAAGCCCACATATTCCAGTGTGACAATGACATCAGAAATCGAGATAGCCAATTCGTAACTGACCTCCAGGCATCATTTGCCTGCAGAACTGCGATGGTGAGCATTGGAGACTAGAGGCAGGCCAAAGTCAGAGAGAAGTGGCAAGATGGCTAAATGTGAGTCCTTCTGTGGTTCATAGACTTTGGAGGCAATTTCAAAGCACAGATTCAGCATGTAGGAGGTTGAGCCAAGGACGGCCAACTGCAACGACGAGCGCCGATGACCGATATTTGACATTATGTGCTCTCAGGAATAGAACCGATACTCCGATTCTTCTTAGATCCTCCCTTGCTGTACCCATCGGAAGGTTGGTGACAACGTCAACTGTGCGTAGAAGGCTTCACGAAGTTGGTCTGTATGCGAGGCGACCAGCCATTTGCATGCCTTTCACGTCACGCCATAGGAGGGAGCGTTTGCAGAGGGCACAACAGGATATCCACAGGACGCTTAATCAATGGAGGGCTGTTCTCTTTACGGATGAGTCCAGGTTTAGTCTAGAAAGCGATAGTAGGCGTTATTTGATATGGAGAGAACCTAGAAGCCGTTATCATCCGTCAAACATCCGTGAAAGATATGCATACAGAAGGGCAGTGTCTGTGTTTGGGATGGCATCCCTTTGGGTGGAAGCACAGACCTCCATGTCTTTCCAAGGGAAACCGTGAATGCTCAGATTTATAGAGATGGCATCCTTGATGTTTATGTGCTCCACATGCCGGGGCAAAAGGTGATGCTTTCCTATTACAGGAAGACAACGCAAGGCCACACAGGACTCGCATCGTAGATGATTATCATCAACAGGAAACAATTATGCGCATGGAGTGGCCAGCTCGATCCCCGGATTTTAATCCTATCGAGCACGTTTGGGATGCTTTAGCGAGACCACTAGCGTGCTCTCAATCCGTCCCTTCAAACCCTTGTCGTGCTTGCAACTGCTTTGCAAGAGCAATGGCTCTCGCTTCCGATGGAACTTATAGACCGCATAATTGAAAGCATCACACATCGTTGTATGTACTGTATTGCTTCTAGAGGCGATCATATTCCATATTGAAGGTACTTTTCCTATAGCAAACTGACACGTTCGATTTGTTCATTTTATACATGTGCTAATTTCTATAGTCTTATTTGTCTGGTAATTTCTTTTTATGTTATTTGATACCTTACTATGTGTTGTATATTGTGGGTATGTTTCATAAAATTCAACATGTAACTTTTTCAGTAATCGTGATTTTTGTGATTTTTCCTCAATTTATGATAACCAGTGTAATTTGCCACTATGCTTTCGGTGTTGGTTTTTTACATATGTTTTATTCCGAACTGAGTATAGAATGAATTTTAAACATATTATGTATTTTACATTATTATCACCATTTATTAATGCTTTCAGTGCGTATATGGATTAGATTTGAATTACTTTTTATTTTGTATTTATTCATTTATATATATAATAGCCACTACGCGGCCAGCCTTAATTTGGTTTCTAAATGTACCGGAAAAATGCCCAAAGGAAACACCAAACATTAAATTTAAAAACTGTACAGAATTCAACTCTGAAGAACACAACTTCATAAAAACATTTCAATAAAAATGTATTACATATAAAAATTTACGATGGAATAAGCAATATCCCTTAATATTAATTATAGTAATAAATAAATTAACCAACTTCCCGTTGCCGTCTCTCGACAAAATCCAGTATCCAAGAGAAAAGTAATTAAAAAAAAAAACTGTGCAGAATTATCGCCCTCATTTTTCCGGGTGGCAACGGTGCTGATTATCATGCCATTGTTGCTGGCATAATGAGAGAGAGTTATCAATTTGATGCGATTTCATCAAAAAACGTAAAATAAAATAAAAAAAAAGAAACTCATTCGAATCTTGAAAAAATCGCTGTGAGGTGCACTGCCTCTTGTCTCGATGCACCTATAGTACTAAATTTCGTTAGCCCTGGGTCTTAGCTTAGGCGCAGCACGAACGAAAGACACACACACAGACAGACCCTTCCATTTACATATATAGATATGCATATACACCTACTTAATATTTAATATATATATATATGCACTTATTTAATATTTACTAGATATATATGTATATATTATACACCTAATTAACTTACGACAGATAATTTTGCTATGAGATAGAAGACAGAATACTAGTAAGAACGCGAGATTCCAAATCTTTATCTAGTGGTAAGAAATTTTGTAGCGCTATTGAGGCAGAATAGCAATACTTACCCAAGATACACAAAAGGAGAGAAAATAACTTTGCGGTATCTGATTTATCCCATTGGGACGGCTCGGCCGCAATCCGTGACCAATACAGTATAATCCACAAGGCCGTCCGGCGATGTATGTAAGTCATACTGATCGATTGAGTAATGGTTACATAAAATGCATACATGCAACATACATGATACATTCATGAATATTTTAGCGGGAAGTTACATTATTTCACCAGCAAAGAAATTTCGGCTCGTTCAGTAACTGATTTTATGTAAACGTTATTTCAAAATTTATTCTTGTTAAAAGTGCCTCGTAGTTAGTTAATTGAATTCCCCAAAGGATTCGTAATCTGACTGATAACTGACTTGCATTGCACAGAAATTCTTTCTACTTGTCGTGAATACCTTAATAAAATCTTTAATTTAGACTCAGCGTAGTTGACAACAATGTAACGGCTAAATTAGCGCAAATAGTGGGTGCGCCAGCTATGTTAAATGTTTGAGTTTGCTATCTATATTTTGTTTTAGTGAAAGCAGACGTTAGAAGGCGAAAATTGAGTTGAGATTATTAGATGAAATAAAGGATTCTCATTTAATCCCAGATGACGCCGTTTTATCATATATAATATTATTGATCCTTAAACGTTTTGATTTTAATATTATTAAAATCTCAATGATTATTTTTTAATTGTTTTGTTGGTCATCAGTGTTATGATACTGATATATGTTAAACCTTTAATATAAGATTAATATATTTATTCTTAAATTAACAGTGGTTTAACTTAATTGGTTTAACATTTAATTTAAGAAAAATACATACACGTATAACTCGCTATACAGAAATTAAGATCGAAATTTACGGGTACGCGTTTTACGATGGATATAAAAATGAGAGATTAAAAATAAGGAATAAAATCTGCATGCAAATATGAGATTTTTAAATTACCTAAATAATGTTTATCTAAAAGAAATGACATACCTTATAAACTTAAAAATTTTTACTATCGGATAACATGAAATGTTCGTCTTCTGTTATACATTCAGACCCATCATCGAATTCTGCTTCATCTTCACCATCGTTACACTGATCTATAGATAAGTAATCTTTATCCCACCTTTAATTTCATAACTTTAACTTGAATGAATTGATTAACTTTCATAACTTCAACACTTGAATAACTTACTTGTGCACACCTGCCTGAATACAACCCACCCTCTTTTCAGAATTATTTACTCCCTTAAGCATTCCCCCCCCCTCCACACACACATATTTTTCCCGTTATCGCTTGGTAATTCGGTATACCAGAAATTCAGAAAACGTGGGAGAATCATCGAATGACTTCAAAAGATAAGAGCATCGCACATGTATGTTTTAAGGTTCTTTCACAAAGAAGTAGGTGCATGTTATAAGGCGAATATTTGTAAAAAAATTAGTATTTAAAATGCCGTATAACTCAAATATTAAATTAATTATAAAAAATTAATAAATAAAGTTTGAAATTATAGGTGGGTATTATACGCCGGAATATACGGCGTATAACGCGTACAGGATCACAAGATTATTCATATAAAATAAGAAAGTTTAAAGAAATGAATCAAACTGCCTGAGTGTTTTTTCTTCTCCATCTATTTCGAGCATAATCATCTTACTTCCCTAAGAATGCAAGAGGTATTAAATGATTTTTGTTCAACTTATATATTTTAGGTAAGTCTGGAACTCCAGAAACTTAACTTACGGTTACGTGAAGCAGAAGAACCAGTGATCCTCGTTACCCATGGTTACGATATGACGTCTCCTATCGTCGAATTACCATCTCTCGAAGGTGAGAATTTCGTAATTTAAGAGCTTTAGAAATTTAAGAATATTTAACATTTAGATAAACATTTCAACATGTATTTTTGTGTTTTAAGTGTGTTTTGTAGTATAAATTTGAAAAACTTTAAATTGACCTTTTAGAAACCCTCACAGATTGTTGGAGACATACTTGGTTAATTTCTTCTTCAAGGAGAAACAAAAACTCCGTTTTGAAAATACATAAATATGTCTCTTTAAAACCTACCTCAGTCTAAGACTGAAATTAGAACAGCTTTACAATTGGAATCAGAGTGCTATTTTTGTATAATTTATATTTCAAATCTAATTTTAATGCAGGTAAAAAAACCATAAACTTGACAGTAACTTGAAATTACTCACCATTATAACAAGGCCCCCAAAAATGTTTTCATCAGTGCTCATAAGCCTGTATAATAATTTCAGTGGAGAGATCACAACAAGCCCATTACAGATAGAATTAAACTTCTGAATGCACCATATTTAATAAATGCATTGTTGCGTAATCCATCAATAATTCGCTTTCTTAAGAAGTGGTACTTCTAGATTCTTAAAAAATAGCATATACGCATGATATGATAGTTTCTTATTTTTCCATCGTTCCTAAGCAAATTATATGCTTAAAATGTCTCTCCCACATGAAGCATGTCACTACTCTCGAATGCCTTTTACAAAATAAACATTTTTAAGACTCAGGAAACTTAGGACTAATACAAGAATTGTCTCGATGGAGTAATACAAGAAGCTTAATGTGTACCATTGAATACTTAGGTATCCTTTCAAGAGGAGTTACGTAAATGTAAAATGAAATGCAAAAGTAATCACCTCCAGGCAGAAATTACTTTCGTTGCTGATCTCTTATCACAATGAAAAATGCCCATTTTCGGAATAAAATGCTTTTATAGTTCCAAATCCATGTTTTCCTACATTAATACTACTTTTCATTTCAAATATGAATAAGTACTGTGATAAGAAAAGTAGTTTTATATCGATTTTCTAATGCCTATCGTAAAGTGAACCGTGTAAAGCATTTTGTTTTTTTCTTACTTCCTCCCTTTTTATTTTTGCGTCTCTCATTCAAAGAGTGTTTACTTACCACATAAATTGAAAAATGGTGGAGACTTCCACAGTCATTATGTATGTCAGTTAAGTTATCATCATCCGGAATCAAGATAAGCGGAATTTCAGTTATACAGATCGCTTGTTCCTCTCTCTAATTAAAGTTAAGATTAATATTAATGTAATATTTATACGGTTAATGTTAATTTTTTGTTGATATATTTTACGTAAACATTTATTTCTTCACAACAATTAAAATCAATTTAGAATTATTGTTTATGAAATTAAATTATAGTTTTATTATAAAATGAAACACGAGTGAAGCCTTGTTTGTTTGTTAAAGAATACTTTGTTTTCAATACTTAAAAACATGAAAAAATGAAATCCTCAGAAATCGTACACTTGAGTAGAACGTGAGATGAAATGTAGAAATTATTATATTAATGTGGAACTGAATTGCATTTCAAATTCCATGATAACAAATAATAAAACCTTTGATGTATAATAAATAATAACTAGTAAAATTTAAACCTATTATTATTAACCTATTACCTAAAATTAAGGTAACTAGTAAAATTTAAACCTATTATTATTAACCTATTACCTAAAATTAAGGTAATAGGTTAATAATAATAGGTTTAAATTTTGCTAGTTATTATTTATTATACATCAAAAGTTTTATTATTTGTTATCATGGAATTTGAAATGCAATTCAGTTCCACATTAATATAATAATTTCTACATTTCATCTCACGTTCTACTCAAGTGTACGATTTCTGAGGATTTCATTTTTTCATGTTTTTAAGTATTGAAAACAAAGTATTCTTTAACAAACAAACAAGGCTTCACTCGTGTAAGTATTAAAAGCAAAGTTTAAGTATTGTCTAAAAGTGTAAGCGCTAAAAACATTTTCTAAGCAACGTTGCGCACAAATTGCTTTGCTGAAGGTATTATAATCTTTCCCCAGTTTCCAATTTGAGCGAACTCTACGAAAACAAATCACAGCAACTATTTTCTGAATTAGAAACTTTTGTACCTGAAATAAAAACGAAACTCGCGAAACGCGTGCCTTCGCATAATTTGCGCGAACTGTTTCCTTGCTTTAAATCACGGACGAAAGACTTTTGAGAGACTTCTAAAGAGCTGGGCCTTATAATGTACCCAAATGATCTTGTTAAAGTCAACTACGAAGTTAAACTTAAGTGGGAATAAAATATTAGCTCGTTCTGTCTGTGTCTCTTGCAAAAAGGAAAAGTTTCTTAGTGTAATAAACTGCAGAATTCAACTTAGAGAGAACATCTTAGACAAACCATGTTTGAAAAGTGAACGATCACAGATATGATCTTCAAAAAAAATGTAAATATACATTTGATTTTATTGCAGCAAGTATTTACAAGAAAAAAAGCAGTGATTTCCAAGCATGGATCCATTTGACTTCTCAAAGGACACGACACCAACCAAGCATTTACAAGAAATGAAAGGCTATTATGCAATTCTAAATGCACATTGTAATGTTTTTAATACTTAAACTTCTAAATTGTTCTTCAGTGAAATTTTTGGAACCCTTGTAGCTGAAACTGAACTCAAAGTTATTATAATTCACATGTTTGTAATATTTTTAAGATCTTTCATTTCATAAGCCATTCTATGGTTTTAATATTTATAATACTATACTTGAAGTTAATATAAATTATTAAGAAACATAGTTTCCTCTTCGATATGAAACTAGACATGCTTTATAAGGATATATTTGGTCTAGTACTGCTACTTTAGTCCTATAACCCTGACAGGCATGTAGCGAGACGGCTATGTCTGATACACAAAAATCATACGAAAGTTTTAAAACAACCATTTTATTTAAACAGAACTTTGAACATATGGGCACGACATTATGCTGCAAATAATATCAGCTTGTGGAAATACAAATTAAAATAAAAACAGTCAGTTCAAATTGACCGTTGATCCGTAGTCTGAAACTACGTAGTTAATTATTTAACTATAAGCTAAAACAATAAATTACGGGCACCCCAGATTACAGCGGCGAAAGGACACAAAGCCCAGATAGTTACATTTAACTAGAGCTGGCAGAATCTAACCATGCAGCGCGCGTGCCAGAAACCCTTGCTCTCAAGATCCAGAAACCTCAGCTAAAATATGCAGCCAACTAATTTGCTATCTGGCGAGGAATACGAAAAGAGGAAATTAAGGTAAAGTTCCATATCATAATAACTGGTTAATTTAAAATAAGAACCTTACAACTTATTCCGATCATTAAATATGAAAATCTACAGAGCTTGTTAGACAAACACCCTAAAAACTGGTGATACTTAACATATAGATTAACCCAGATTTTCTAAGCTTCTCATTCATTAGAAATTTTAGCATATAATTTTCTAAATACGTTAACATAATTAGAGTTACATATCATAATTAGAGTTAATTAAGGATTTAATATTAAGAATGCTGTTTATATGGGTCTGTAGAAGAAAATCAATTTTAGGGAACGATTTTATGAGCAGGCCAGTCGCAGAATCATTTGTTAAAGCTCTCATGCGTAAAACGTCTACAGTACTGAAAGCTGATGATCTTAAATGTGGCTTCAAGCAATTAAATTTGCCAACAACATTACCTTAACGCTTCGTTATTATGAATAGCGGATTCAAAGCTGCTCCAAAATATAAGGTAGTTGTTTACGTCTCCATGGAATTTGACTATGGTCAATTTCGTATGCTCAGTGCAAACTATATTGTTAGATTTCGATTCCTATTCTCAGTATCAAGTGACGCATCCGCTGATAGGGCTGGGACACTAAGTTCTAGTTTAGCTAATTAATTCTTGTGGGGACGCGAAATTTTCTGCGAACCACCTTTTCTTGTAGTTCTTCAGAATTTAAAAATTCTGCTTAGATCTTAAAAATGTTTTTCTAGTTCTGCATCTACAATGTTAAGAGACTCGCAGTTGTATATTAGTATTTCTAGTAATTTTTTCAAAAGTTTCAATCGCTTTCGGAACTTTATCTGGTAATGCTTATAGTAATTTAGAGACTGATGCTGTTAGAATGCTGCGTATTTTCATCGGTTGAGATAAATTATTTTCAGACATAGTTTCTTGGTTACAAAATAAATTATTAATCAATATATCATATACAATAACTAATAATATATATTTCTTATTTCTGTTGTGTTGAATTATTCTAACATGTCCATATAACATGTCCATATAATGGCCAAGAATGCCATAAATTTGTTAAATTCGAGAAATTTCTTCAAAAGTAACCAGGTAAACTACTAACCTATCTACCTATCCAAAGTCAAGGTTTGTATAATCCAGTATATTGTCTTCTTCCTAAAGCCACGAATGGTGATTTAAAAACCAAAACTGATATACATGCAAATTATTAAATGTTAATTTTTAAGTAATTAATTCCAGTTAATTTTTAAGTAAATTGTATTTGAGATATAAGCAAAATAGAAATCCATAAGTAGATTAAATTAACATTATAAAATCAGTATGAAGTTAAATTTCCGTAAATATAAAAATGTTCATTTGTAACGGGAGGTTCACATCAAGGTTCTTATTAATTATCGAACGCTCGATACGATTTCGCAATTAAGTTATTACAAAAACTTTTATGAAATTTTTTAATGTTTAGAAACTTTCTCATTTACGCATTTTGAAAATAATAATGTAAGATTTTATAAATGATCACTTTGTATTTATTGTGAGTTTGCTCTAAAGTATCTGCGATAGAACAAATAAGCTGAAATAAAACTAGGCACACCTGTTTACGTATTAGTTATTCTAAGGTACGTTAATATACGATCTAAAATATTAAAATTATATTTAAAGAAAAGAACTCTTATTTGTAGAGAAAAATTATTCTTTTAAGCATAGGTTCTTTGTTAACAAAATTCTTATTAAAATATAAATCTCATTAAGAGAGTCATCAACGTTTCTTAATTTTGAGCTTATATATTTAAGTGTAGTTGCAATAATATATTCCTTAATTCATGGGATGGAAAGAATTCGTTTTAAATGTGACAGAATGTTATGCTTTAATTTATTAACATCTGAACAACACTTTCTTTTAAAGAAGTATTTATGTATTACATAAATGATGTCACGTTGGCAATATAAAATCTTTACAAGCTAAACAAAACTTGAATTTATGTTGATATTTTTCTGAAGAATTACATGCATTTTATGCTCTGAAGAATTATATTTATTTAATGCTTTTATGCATTTACATTCATTTCATGCTCTGCTTGGGATTTTTTAAGTGCGATTTTAAAGAATTTTGCTAATATTACGATGAACACAGAAATTACAGCATATTAAAATTACACGAGGAATATGGTGATATTTTCCCCTTACTTCGTAATAGGTGTACAACATGTTTGATTTTTATTTGTTTTAGTAAGTGAAGAGGAGTCAGCAGAAGATACATTTGGCAGACGACCATCAATGCCGGTTAAGTCTCATACAATTGCACTTCAGAAACGAAGGTACCGTATTTTTAGAATAATTTAGCTAAAAATATGTAAACCTCAATAAAGACGATGTAATGTAATTATTTTAGTTAAAATTCTTCTGTAGTACATCGTTTTTAAACATTTTCTTTCATAATTTTACTTTTTTCTCCTTCTTGTCTAATTTTTCATTTCTCCTTACCTAATTCCCATTCCATTTTTTAATTCTATATTATTACTTAAACAAAATACTCAAACAATATTTCTTACAGAATAAGTAAGAATTATTCATTAGGTATTCACATATGCAGATATAAGATTTACACATAAAAGTTTTGCCATCATCTACAGCTTTTGAATGGCGTCATTTACTGTTGCCGTTTGCTAGCACAAAACACTTCAAGAATGAGTGGGTATATCGAAATTTGAATTAGATGCATATGTACGTGTAATAATTTTAAATTATACGATTATTAAGTTTTATTTATATCTGCGAGCGTTTTCTATTTTTGGTTTTGGGTTTTAAACTCTGCTTCTTCTTTTAAATGAAAGGTTTCGCATTCTAAAGCGAAATTTTTCTAAAGCTACCAAAAGAGCTTTAACGCATACTTTCACATCCATTTGTGTTATATAATTTTTATTATTATATTTCAATGAATCTAGTATATTATAACTATTTTGTAGAGTCATTAGGTTATTTTGAAAAAGGATACGTGAAAAATGAGCAACGCTCTCACCAGAACTCGACACTGGACTTCTCAAATATGCCGAGTGTGCTACGTTGACCAGGAAGACATGCTGGAAGGAGAGAGAAACCTCATATACTCCCCTTTTAAAGGGCGACTGAGGACTAGGGGGTCACCAAATCCTAGTGATGACGAATTATTGTCCACCACCTTTTTAGTTCGGGCGCCACTATTTATTCATTAGGGTTATTGAAGCAGGAAATGTGAAAAATGTGCAATGCCCTCACCGGGACTCGAACCTGGACCTCTCGAATTTGCTCCGAGTATATTCGAGAGGTCCGAGTCCAGAGCAATACGAAGGCTTGCTGGATGGAAGGAGAAAACCGCACGTCAGTTCTATTATTTTTTTTTCCTATTACATTTACGAGGACATAAAAATGCTGCCAGTGTGAAGAAAATTGTGAAAGTTTAAAAATACTTCTGCAGAAATTCCAAAAGACATAATATTTAGGGTAACTAATTACATTAGATATTCTCCTTAGATTTTAACTTGGACTTTCAAAATATTTCACACACCAAAGAATTAAATCTTAAAACAAGTAGTAATAAGTAACGGAACTCGGGGTAGCGTAAGTAAATTTGCAAGACTATAGCTCCGTAGTTAAATGTAATCTTCGTCTTTGCCAGTTTTTCATTCCAGAAGCTGAAGAAGAAACTTCGATTTAACTGTTGTTACTAATAGGCTTGCAAATTTATTCAAGCTACGCCCATCCCTGTTGCTTATTACTAGTACCTTTAACATTTGATTCTACTTTGTTTAAAAATGGTACGGCTGAGAAGAGGATTTTTAATTAAAAAACAATTTATTACAAGAAATGCCGCTAAATCTGGAAAATTTTAATATTCTCAACAATGCACTAAAGATCCTGAAAACTCCTTTCACATCTTCTCATTGAGCTGGGATTTATAAAAAATTTTGCGAAAGAAGTTGATAAAATAAGTTAACATTTACATATGTTATAAAAGTATTTCCTAACAGAAGAGACGTTAAAATCAAGCAAGCACTTTTTTCGAAACCGTAACTTAAAAAAAAAATCTAGATTACAAAGTTGATTAGGGGAAAACAAAAGAAAAAAAACTACTTCATTTTAAATTTCTAGAAATATTTGCCTACAAATTTCTTGCAGAAATGTAAAGCAGCAAATTATCAAAACATAATAGATAAATTTTCAAAGTCATAAGAAATATGGAAATGCAACATAATTTAATAAAGCTTTTCTCGAGTATGCCTAGATTACTTTCCTGTTTTCCTCGAAAGAATGCGCAATATACATAGTGAGCGTCTTCCGCAGTAAATTTCTTTTTTTCTTTTCTCTCTTTTTTTTTTTTTTTTTTTTTGAACAAACGTGTGACTACGAACTACGAATAGAGTTCTCCGTATACTCGCTGACTTCTTTAAAATCGGTTTTAAGTGTCTTCTGTTCAAGTGATTAAACTATCGTTAACACAAAATTTCTTTCGTCTATAGTTTTAACACCATACAAATAAAATTTTACAAAAATCTGAAAGGTTTCACATTTTAAATTTCGTCCAAAGGGGCGTCTTTTTAACATTTTGTGTGTTACCTTTATTTATTAAATATCATATTCTTTTCAATTAAACCATAAAATTAAGTTCAATAGCAATGTCGCAAAATACTTTTAAAATGAGCATATCTTTCAGAATTTCCGTTCCGCGCGCTGGAGATAATTGTTGCCTTTGCTCGCTTTGAAATCCTTGTGTTTGTTAATCAAAAATCGTTAAACGTTTTAAAGTTTTACAAAATATGAAATCGATAATAAAACAAATTCCAAATTTCAAATTCGGCCTTCCACATGTCCATATTCGTAGTAGGATTAGTCATTCAAAATTCGATGTACCGTTATTTACACAATTCGAGAAAATATTTATGATATTTTTCATTATTTAATTCTGCAAATATAATGCAGGACTCTAACATTTGGTGGCAACAGTTTGAAAAGGGAAACGGACATTTATAGTGATTCAACGCAAAATCGCAAAACGAAAACAATAATCCTTCAGGGACAAAGCCTCTTTGGACTATAAATGAGATTGAATTTTTCCTAAAAATGTTAAATACGCATAAATCCTCTATTGAATGAATCTTCAATTTTCAGGCAGGTGACTGTATGAAGCGCTCATGCAGTTAGATAACGTAGCGAAAATCAATGTCATTATTGTGACAACTTCATCAAGGTGATCGAATCAGCCCACTATTCTCATCCCATAGATATTATCTAAAGTAAATTGATGGCACAATCAATAATTGAGTTTATTGTGTTAGTATAATTCTGTATTAAAGCCAGAATCACTGTAATAGGGAGTGTTAGTGAAGTCAAGCTAATATGGAATGAATTCCAAAATGTTATTTCGTTTCACTGATAGTATGGGTAAATGTAAGAAAAATGAACCTTCTTCTTTTTGAAACTGTTAGTTGGCTGACTTGGTCTTGACGTTTTGTAAACGTTTGCATCAATTTATTTATTTTGCTAAAAAAAAAAAAAAAAAAAAAAAAAAAAAAAAAAAAATAGAAGCTTTAGTAAATATCATATTGCATTATATTGCGAACGTTCTTCCTGATAACACCTGACACATAATAACAATAAAAAATATTATACATCATTTCTTATAATGAAAGATATAATTCGTATATTACGTATACTAGCGGATTTGATATACTAAAGATTCGTATAATATCAGCGAGTATATTTGGTATACTAGCTGCATGATAACCTGGATTTGAAATATTCCACAGAATTTCGTTTTGTTACTGATTTAACATTCATTTGAAAGCAATATTAAGCTTAGCTTTAAATTTTATTTAAATGACCGTTAAACCAATGTATAATGCTTTGTTTAAATTAATTAAATGATCTGCTATTGTATCAAAATACATTTTATAATTTGCTTTTTCATAGTAATTTTTAATAGACGTAATCTTAGAAATGTTCATCATTGGTTGAATTTTTAAATTGCCATTTTATACGCTAATTAGTACGTGCATTTTAATTATTTCCATTCTTTATAAAATAAAGAATCTAAATTAATAAATTAAATATGATACATTTTAAAATTAGATTGACAGTATGTTTAATTAATTTCATTTAAAAATTTTTACAAATTTTCGGGGTTAATTCTTGAATCGCTATGTAACAGTCTGTTTATCCTATAAGGTATTTCTCCCGCCTTCTTGGCATGTCTTCGTGGTGTTGCGGTCTGCATTCTGGGCGCGTATTCCAGAGGTCCGCGCTTCAATTGCCGGCGAAGGCGTTGCATATTTTTCAACTTTCCTGCTTCTGAAAAAAATCATAATATCTCTACAGTGGCGCCTGAACTAAAAGGGTGTTGGATGATGATTCTCCACAACCAGGATTTGGCGAAAGATTTCCCTAAAACCTCAGTCGCCTTTTAAAAAAGGGAGTATATAAGATATTCTCCCCTTCCTGGCATGTCTTCCTGGTGTGGTGGTCTGCACGCTCAGCCCGTATTTTAGAGGTCCGCGGTTCGATTCTCGCCGAAGGCGTTGCTTATTTTTTTATCTTTCTTGCTTCTTAAAAAATCCTAATGTCTCTACTTTTTTCCTAGTTCATTTTATTCTTACTGTTTATTTACTTCAGTTCTGCTGTTTGGATGAAAAAAGAGTACTCGGCTGATATGTTTTAATTCCTTGTGTAATTTGTTGATATTTTACATAGAAATAGAACTTATTTTATGGAACTCATGTCATATGCTTTTCAGATTTTTCTGTATAAACTAAGCATGATTAAGCTTGTACTTAATTTATCAGTGTGCTTTTGAATTTTTCCCTTTCTGTTGATTTAAGTTATATAAAAAGCAACAGAGCTTTTTTGGGGGGGGACATTTTACATTAATTTATGTCAATGTGTACGACATGTAAATTCGTTGATCTGTAAATGGAAATGGAAATGCATTTACATAGTACTCAGGTCTTTTCTTCTCTGTTTATCCTTATACAATCATGATGTATATACATAAAATATTTCAGCCGGGAAATATATGTTCGCTTAATTTTAAAAACGAACCGATTTTTATACTGTTTTGTTTTATAAAATTAATTTCTTTTGCCACCTATTTAATCTCTGTCAAAACAAAATACGATAAGTAAAAGTAATATTAAATCTAATTAATTAAATTATTATTACTTCATGACGTATACATATTTCGTTTGCAGAAGTAAAGCAATCCAATTATCCAGAATTTTTGAATATTTGAATGAAATTTTGTCTCAGTTTTTCCGAATACTTGGAATTATATTTATTATATAAATTAAAAGAATTGCCTATTATTGCTCTAAATCCATGGCTAACACATATTTTTAGGATGTCGGAAATTTCAATTAGAATATCCACCATGTCCGAGAGAGAGAGCAGCTACGCAAGAACAGACGAATCTTCGGTACAAATGAGTTCTCCCCCAGCAACAGAAGAAGCCCCATCTTTCACGTATCCTGTACCTCAAGTGCCCCGGGTCGAGGAGCCTAAACCTTCCCCTTCGGCACCTGGTGTTCGCTACAGACAACTGCAGCCGCTCACTCTCATGGACGAAGCAAGTCAGCCAGTCAAGTTCGCTGATTCGGACTCCAGCGAAGGATCCAGGAAGAGCCCAGGGGGCCAAAACCACCAGGAATATCAGGAATCGGACGACACTTCTTACGCGAGGGCGATACAAAACGCGCAAAGGAAGAGAAGTCTCATGAACGGACTGTCGTCGAGTGCCGAAGAGGACACTGATAAATTCGAAATGGGGACGTGTTCAGAAGGTCAGTAACTGCATCGTATATTATGGATACTGGACATTTCCATTCATTAAATTTAAAGTATGATCATATCTTTAATAAAATTGATCATTTCTCCTCATATGCGTATAAATTTAGGCAGTTGATATCTGCACTTTGATTTATTACATATATTGTGTTCATTAAAGAAATTTAGTGCGAATTTAATAGTCTCTACGCATATTTCTCTATTGATTGATTCACCACGCATATTTCTCTATTGATTGATTCACCCGCTCTCGCTGTATTATGTCTGTTGGTTTAACACAGAAGAAATCTGCAGCGATTGAATAATCTAAAAAAGGCACTTTATTCAAATAAGATTAGATTAAGGTTAGAACGAACTTTATTTTAATAAGGTTAGAAGCGTTTGTTTGGTAGTGACACGGGCTGCTGTAGTGCACTTTTTATTATCTCAGCATGGGTAATGTAGTGACGAGCATACTACCCCATCGAAAATACGGATTGTTTTATTTACAAAAAAAGGATGGAAAGGTGAGATCCATGTGCTAAGAGTATCTTAATATTTTCATGCTTTTTTCAGTTTTATTCAAAGAATCATACATCAAGAGCGGTCTAACTATATGAATAACTTAATAAAAGACGGTGAAACTTGTGAAACGATATTTTTAACACTAAAACCGTGGGAATTAGTCTATACTCAAAACCTCAGACAGAACATTTTTTTGTTTTGTAATTAATATTTTTAATAACTCTTTCTTATCATATATTAACCAAAATTGGAACAATTCAAGTGCGTTATAAATTACTTTCATGACATTGAAAAATTTGATGTGTACACCACATAAATTCCTTGTACGGAATAGTAAATTATGCTCACTTTTTGCTGCATTTCATTTAAACTCATTTCTTCGAATTTCGTTAGAGGTGTATTTCTCATTCAATTAATTCTAAGTTCGTGACAAGACAAAAATAACATAAATCTTAAAATTTGAAAAATATAAAAAAATCAAACACTAAATAGTTAAAAAAATCAGAAAACAATTTTTACAATTAAAATTAGAGTTTATACGCAAAAGCAAGCAGTTCGACGAGCAGACAGCAAGTCAGATTTTTCGGTGCACAAAATGAAAGTTTACTTTTGGTCCCACTCGGCAAAAAGACACTGAACGTGCAGAAACAGAAATTATAGTCTGCTAAGTTTCAAATGTAAAAAATATGGCTGCTGTGATAAACAAATATTAGGCTTAGCCACACTTAAGTAATTTTTAAATTGTTGATAATTCTACAACTATTGCGTGCAGATTAACTAAAGGCATAAAAACCTTAACCGGAAGATAAGAACAACATAATTCAATCATTTTTAAAGCAAAAAATGCGTAATTTAACAACTTATAAGAATCAAACAAAATGAGCTAACTGAGTCGAGTAACAGAGTGGGCATATATATATATACATATTTATATACTTTTGGTGCGGCCGATTGCAACCAAAACGGGAGGTACACAAGTGCATGTTATACCAGTCCTATATACACAATGTCAACGTCCTGAGTCCATTCTAAATCAGTTTTATAATACATTTGGAGAAAAAGAGTCCTTTATTCTATCCTTACGTAGAGATGTCACCCCAAAATATCGTTAAATTGCATTGGATAGTGGTCAAAATATGTATTTTCGTTGAAATATGACACCCAGAATTTTTCGTGATTACGAAACTTCCTTTATTTTGTACAAGGAAGTAAATATTAGACATTTTAATTACTATACAGAGAATTACATGCACGTACATTTATGTCCATAAGAAATGAATATAAACTAAACGTTAATATGAATTTCAAAAATCTTCTTAATTATTTAAAACATCTTATAAAATTTTAATATGAAATGCAAAATAGTGCCAAAAATGAACTAATATGTTACGAAAGAGGAATTCTATCACCTGAGTCAGTTTTTTTGTTTTTTATAAAACGCCTGTTAGAAGAAGAGTGTAATTTTAATTCTCCATTCGACAGGTATTTTTGTTTTAATTCAGTGTGTACCTATACTTATAAAAAAGCCTAAGCAGATGTTTCAATAAATAATCGTAATACTTTGATCAGTGAAAGAACATAATTCTCTGTACTTAAATGAATAAAACATCAACAAATTTTATATTTCTAAAATATAATTTTATTCTAAAAGTCAAGAACAGTACAACTGATAGGTAATAGGAAGTTCTGAAGACAAAATACTTTGACATATTTCGTCAGAATCACTACGCCATAGAACACGACGGAAGAAATATAATGCTGTTTACATTGAAAAATAAATTTTGTATTCTATTGTAGTAGCAGTAATATTATACTAGTTTTACTGCTTTGTCGAATATGTAACATGACCTCAATAACACCATAGTATTATTATTACAAAAGATTTTAATTCTTGCATCAAAATTTATTTCAAAAATAGAACATGCAACTGAAGTTGCTTTGGAACAGCTGAAGGTATTTTAAAACTTTAGTGCATGTCATATTTTGCAGAGTGACAATGCGTGTGATTTTGCAGCAGACGTGATCAACGAACTTTCTGCAATGTGGCGCGATTGTAAAACAATACATAGATGGCCACTACAGTCATAGGCGAGAGAACAGCACTGAAATCAGAATATTGAAATTAATTTTCGTACTTGGATGGATAACAGTTGACGTACAGACTGTGTAAAGAATACCATTTTATTCAGATGAAAAAAAAAAAAAAACTTAAATAATAAGAGGAAACCCGTCCATTGTTTTGGAATAGCACCAAAGTTAGTATTAAGCTCAGTGAATATTTCACTGAAATGTTAACATAAATTGCCGGTCGACTACTTAGATTTGACGGAAAGGAAAGAGAAATTTCAAAGAAATAGAAAAAAATCAAGTTGCTAACATGGAATGTGATATAGGTTCTATTTTATTCTCACAACTTCATTGAAACATCATCTGTATAATGGTTTTCATGTTCTATGAAGACTCGCGCATCTCATTGTCAAAGCATAGCCTCAGTCTCTAAGGTGAAATATCCCGTTTATTACTGCCTCATTTGCACTATATGAGAAATAAACGAAATAAAGAAAAGCACACAATAACTAAAATAGAACAGGAGTTTATTTAAACTACTAGGAAAAAGTGAAACCTTGATAGAAGCCTTTGTATGAAATCGTTGCACTTGGACCCTTTATTTTGTTAAATGTTCCGAAAGTTTATAGAATGTCTAAATTTAATTAGAAAAATTCTTGACATATAAAATAATGTTTGTGAAGATGAAATAAAAAGTGCATTATTAAAATGCGGTATGCTAGATGTGATTCCCAGTTTCTGACACAAACTGTTGAAGCCATCCTAAAAAGTGTTAAATATGTTCGTGAAGCTACAATGAAAAGTTCACCTATCTATCTAATATTGTTTAATAATAACAATTTATTAAGCAAAGATGATTGATAATTTTAAACAGTTTTAAGCACTGACTAATTCAAAGGTAGCTAATTCAAAAATAAATAATTAAGAAGCTTACTATAAAGAAGTAATTCAAACTGTCATTATTGTAAGCAATGAAAAAATAATCTTTTATCTCCATACGTTTTAATAGGTCATTATTCTCTTCGGCTTATTACAATAAGCAGGCTGTTTAATGCATATTTTCCAGTTATCCGAAAAGTATATGAGCCCATTGCAGCAAACATAAGAAATATAATTATTTTTTAGAAAGTGTTAAAATAATTATCCAGTTAGCTCAATGCTTTGAAACTGCCACATTTGCACTATGGCAATGTGCTTATATGACCAACGTAACATGTGTATGTAACTATATAAAAAGGTACTCTGTTTAAGGAAATTCTGCTTTTTACTCTATTATAAAAATTATTTACGATGAAAAATTTTTCTGTAAAATTTCATAAGGGCACTAAAAATGACTGCTACCGCGGTTCTAAGTATAAATGTGTATAAATCCGAAAACTCATTATTTGTTTTGAAATTTTACATGCTGTTACATTTGAGTAATTTTAAGAAAAGACAATTTTATCGGCGAAGCTAATTGTAAAATGCACAATCACGTGAATTTTAAAAACGGGCAATCTGCCACGGTTTTAGTCCTAATATTCTGCTCACGTCTAAATTACCCTCAAAGAAATATTTCCTTTCCTGACTTATTTGGTGCACGGACGAGAGTTATGAAGATACTGACACTACCGTTTCTCTGACAATTGTAATAATTTTTCAAATTAAGATCAGAAATGCACTCATCTAACTCGAAACATATCTTAAAAATATTTTAAATATATCACTAAATGGACAGTGAAATCCTGAAAGTGTAAATTGTCTCATTCATTCAGAACGTTTAATCCAAGCGTGCTGTTTAATAACTTTTTTTTTTTTTTTTTTTTTTTTTTTTTGCATATTTAAGTTTTCTTTTTATTCATGTGCTTTATATTTCATAGCAAATTTATTTTTTCTTTTATGACTGAATTACTTACATATAATAGTTTTTGAGATTTTTAACTAGATACTAATACTTTCTCTGCGATGACTTTTTTCTATAGCTGACAGTGATTCGAATGCAAGACGAACAGCTTCAGCTCATGGTGACGTCCGGCGGAGGGCCAAGAGTCTTGGAACTCTCAGGGACGCCACCAGGAGGACAAGTTACGGGACTGGTGGGCCTCCTAGTGGAGGCCAGGTCTCAGTGATTCACAACAGAAGGACCGACCCAGGGCTCTTGCCCCTCTTTCCTTATATCAGCCATATAATGAACAATCGGAAATCGCCCAACGATGACGAATCCACACCCCTTTACAGCTCCTATCCTTCAGTTAAGTGTGATATCGTGGAATACTTATGAAGACTTCTCTTCAGTATACACTTAAATGAGGAACAACGATATCATTGTTCCGACTGTTTCGTATCGAGAAGTGGGCCGATGAGGATCTGATGAGGGATCTCTCACAATGAGCCTTCATGATCATGAATTTTAAAAGGAGGCTTCCTTGCATAAAGGGCGCTGGTTCAGAGCAAGGTAGCATAACTGACGTGTTTAATGGTTACGATTTACTGAAGCATTTTAAACGGATGATCAATCCAGATGAACTTTTGAATAATTTTAGGTGAATAAATTAAACGATTTTATATTTTAAATTACTCTTCGAAAAATGGAGAAAATTTATACTAAAAGAATGCGATCTGTAAACAATGTGGTGCTACAATTTGCCGGTCCCCTGCGATGATTTAAAAGAAGAATATTCCTCGAGGTATAAAAAAAAGTATTGGAAAGTTCATTGCGCGGTTTAATTTTCTCATTAGCAATAACTGTAAACTTCAAACAGTATTTTAAGCAATTTTAAATCGACTTTTCTCTCTGCAGGTGTGCGATTATTTTACTAGCATCATTCAAAAATTTCTTCAGTTCTTTATTATACAATTTATTTGAGTACAATTTTTGTTTTATTAAATGAGACTGTGCTTTTAAACTATGCTAATTTGCTTTTAAAATTATCTAAACATTTCATCTGGGTTTTGCTTAAATTTTTGCTTAAATTAAACCAAGAAATTAAAATTTGCGTTGGTCGTTTCACAGAAACCTTTATTCAAATTCGTATTATTGAAAGCTTCTAAAAGTCAGAGAATTTGTCATGAACCTCCATGAAGGCAAATTGCTTCAACGCGTACCTTTTTCTAAAAGCTATACTTTACCTAATAGATTATGACTGTTTCTTTTTATGTCTACAATTAAATTTAACCTGATATTTTAACACATGCGTATTTCAAATGACTGAAAAAATTGTTTTGCATAACACCCTAAATGAAAGGAGATAACATGGCAAAAGATCTACAGGAAAGCATGGCAAATATATTCTATAAAGTATCTCAGTCTAAAAGAATGTTACTCAAAAATTTTCTGGCCATAACGAACACCAGTATGAAAGTATTCTATAACCAGAACGAGATAATTCTCGCTTTCTAACATGAAACTACAAGATTAAAATTATATTCTTTAGATGTTAAATATTTATATTTCATAATTACAAAATTATTTCACGAGGAAATGTTTCTTCATTTAACGATTTGCAAAAAATTCGTTCATTACAAACTGATAAAACAAGAAAAACTATTAAAAGCTTTAAATTATTTAAAAGAACTTGAATAAAAATTTAATATATTATTAGAAAGTTTGTTATTTATTAAAATAGCAAGAAACTATTTAAAATATATATTATAAAAATAAGATAATCAGTAAAGAAGATGGGATATAATTAAATAATAAGCTCATAACATCAGTTTTATAAAAACTGTTAATAACATCAGTTTTATAAAAACTGTTGATAAAATCTTAATATGAAGAACTAAAATCCAATGCTTTAAATCCCTTCTGCTGTTCTTACATAAAATAGTATATCAGAGGATATTTAAAATTAAATGTTTCACTTGGAATTTATTAGTAACCTATTTGAATTAAAAAGGAGAAGAAAACTGCAAACAAAACAGCTAAAACTTACTTAGATCTCTTTATATGTACATTGATTTTGCAACAAGGTAGGTACCAGACATTTTAATGATGCATTATATATTTCTCTTAATTTTAATTACAAATAAAAAGAAAAAATGCAATAACTATCCATAATTTCAAAGAATCGCGTTTAATTAAAATGGTTAAATTTAATAAAAAAGTGGCGATATATATGTTCAGTTATTTTTATTTACACAAGAAACAAGTTAACACTTATGCATAAAAATTTGTCTCAGTCGTAAAGCTGAACATTTAGCACTGGATTCCCTTTATAATTATTCATACAAAGAATTACAGTAACATCTGCTTAATTTGACCACCCACCGACCTTTTATATTTGATCACGTTGTGAAAATCTCCTTTTAATAATATTGAATTTTAGAAGCTAAAAATAAATCGCATGTTTTAAATTTATATAAATAATAAGAAATGAATCTGAGTTTAAAATACTTTTAAAGAATGCATCGCTCATATATTTTTAATTTATATTGACGAACAGAAAACTGCGTTTGTGATTTACATTAAGTGTTTAAGATACTTGAAAAGTTTTCAATTAATAAAACTACGTTCTTTTTAATGTAAGATTTTTCTTTTTATTATCAACACTTTTTAAAGCATATAAATTTCATTTTCTTTTTGCATCTCATTATAACAATGTGGTTATTGCTGTACCTTCGGATTTTCAAGTTCTCTTACTGAAAAAAGAAATTTTAATTTTACAAACTGAGCAAAGAAATATTTATTTAGTACAAATTTAAGCAAATCCTCTTGCAACTTTTAGCGTAGAAAATCATTCATTTCTAGCAAATAATATGCATTTCTTGCCGGCTTAATATAGTATGACTGGAAATACAGTAGCTGGAGTGATAAAAAAGATAAAATGTAATAAGTAGTGAAAAATGTTAGAAAAAGGAGTAAGTAAAAACGCAGGAAAAGCTACTAAAGATAGACGAGAAAATTACAAACGCATTCACAAATTTTTAACATACATTGCTCATGCTTTCACTATACGTAGCAAACCTAATTTTAGGAGACAATTCTCTATTAATTTCTTATGATCTAAAATAAAACTTAAAACAGCTAGTCCCTTTCTATTTGTAACAAAATAACAAAGGTGGTCATTTTTTTGCGGTTTTATTGTATTATCACAACATATGCGTTAATTTTTGTAAAGGATATTTATGACTTAGAGCTTTAACTCCTTAAACATGTGTCTCAAACTATCGTCTACGAAGATTTTTTAAATAAGTTACAGAATTTAATGAGATACAAGTTTTGAAGATGAGAAAGCTACTAAGAAATAAAATTTAACTTTTGTATGGTCTAATGAGAAGAAATATAATAATTAGGAAGACATTATGCTTCTATTAAATAAAAACTAAATATTCCATATCTTTGTGCACAAAATTTGCAAATATATTCGAAAACAAATTTATTATCTTCAGACAATGTTTTACGCTTATTAGCAGTATGATGCAATATTAATCACAAATACTTTAAGCAACTGCAAAATGAACGTATTTCATTTTGTAAATTTATGTTTTCAAACTTTGAATGAGAGGTAATTTGTTCTTAAATTTGTAGTTGACTCTAGTGAATGCTTCATAAAATTTATTTAATGTTTGTTTTTAAATAACAAATATATAATAAAACGTTTAATATAAATAGTGTTTATTAAGGGAATTTTTTTGTTTTAAGGATGACACAAACTTTAATTTTATTTGTGAGTCTTCTGTCCACTTACGTGTAGAAATCGTCTGCATAAATTTTGCTTCTTTTTCTAAGAAGCTTAATAACTGAAAGTATGGATGTCTAAGATCAATAATTAAAGAAATAATTTAATAATTTTTAACTGCTCTAAATACTTAAATTTTGAATTTTTGTAAAATTATTCAAATATTTAACATTGTTCTCTAAAAGAAAACTGTATTATTAAAATACAGCTAATTCATATGTGAATATGTGAATATGTGAATTATCTGAATTCACATATGAATTCAGATAATTCATATGTGAATATGTGAAGCTTATATTCATATAGTTACGACAACCTGGGAATAGTATATTACCGAAGTCAAGTTAAATCATTGATCATTAAATTCAATAGTGTGCAATTCATATGAATTCATATGTGAATATGTGAATTATCTGAATTCACATATGAATTCAGATAATTCATATGTGAATATGTGAAGCTTATATTCATATAGTTACGACAACCTGGGAATAGTATATTACCGAAGTCAAGTTAAATCATTGATCATTAAATTCAATAGTGTGCAATATCAACTGTTTTTTTTTTATTTTGTAGCAAATTATTTATTTATTTCTATTAATTTTATTTTGGTAAATAAATTTGTTAATTTGTCTTGCTCTGAGCCTAGTCGCATTTTTCATGGTGCTGCTTATATCCGACATAAATCTGAGAAGAAACACTGAGTAAACAGAAATATGGACTTGAGTTACTGTGTAAGCAGAAATACGGACTTGAACGAATGATCTAATATATTAACATTGAAAGCGATCTTAAAATCTTTGATATTTTCCTTTTGTTATTCTTCCGAAGCATGAAAACCTATTTTATGCAACAAATCTAGTTTGCAATTTTCTGTCTTTGGTGATTATTAAACTTTTCTTAATAACGGAAGCTTCTTAAATTACTATTAATATAATTCTTATTCTTATGGCTGCATGCTTCAAATAAAATTTATGGTAAGAATTGTTATGTATATGAGAAATTTAAACTAATTATTGTTGTCCTTGACTGGCATAAAATGAGAGATGCACTTATGTATATACTGTTTTTGAAAATTTATTTATCTGTGTTAAAGTCAGAATATGTTCAGAAATACGCGTAACACTACTTGTTTGCAAGCTTGATAACAGATAATGAGTGTAATAAATTAATATGAAATTTTTTGTATACTTATGGTTGTCTTCTGAAGAACTGTGTAACAGCAATTGTATCATTCAATTCTTTCTCACAATTTTCTGATCGTAACAAATTTGAATTTCTCGATGCGTTGGGTGCAATTTCATTACTATGATATTCGAGAAAATGATTTAGCTATCGATAAATTGTTAGGGTAAAGGTGTGATAGAAGTGATCATTTTGAATAGGCAAACAAAATCTGATAAATAAATTCTTTTATTAAACTAACATAGTGGATTATTTTACTATATAACAATAAGCTCAAAGTGATCACAGCATAGAAGATGCAATAAAACAAAGGAAGATATATTATATAAAAAATAAATATTTCTTTTGACTCTGTTTACTTTGTATTCCGAAAGTGTCGACAGAATTAGGAAAAAGCGACAAGGTATGCCTTCTTTTTCCCATTCGTAAAATAGCTAACTCAGCAGATCGCCTTACGCACAGGCTGATTGCTTTTGAAACTTAATGAAAACCGATCCATTTGCCTCTCAGAAACAATGGGCACCTTTGTACGAAACCAGATAGAATTTTAATAACAGTTAAAGCCTGCAGCGTATAAAAGGAAATGACAAGTGTACCATTAGACTTCCTGAATACATGATGTTTCCGAAGACGCTAATAAAAATGTAATAGTAAAGTTATGAAAATATTTACTGTAGCTTATCTTCTACGTTCTAGAATAAACGGAATTTTAATTTTTCAAAAGTACGAACAAAACTTTCTTCTGTGTTTAATAATTGTGAAAAGAAATAATATTTAATCTAAATATATTTCTTAGTAAAAACCCTTTGACAAATCTAGGAACTTTATTAAAAATTACACGAATATACTTAATATAATAAAATATTTAAAACATTTTAAACAGTTATGATACAACAAAACTAGATTTACTAGATTATTTTTGATACTCAGTTTGCAAAGCTTATATATTTAGTGGTATGCATTAATTTCCACAATTTCGAATATAAATTATATATTTATACGAAATCAGTAGTATAGTAAGATCACTGCAGTTACAATTGGCAATAATGGAATACCTTATAATGCAGTTTTACAATTACTGCGTGTTATTTTTAATGACGCAAAACAAATATACACAAGATTCAAGTCATGTTTTCTATATTAAAAAAACTGAATTTAAAATATATCAAAATATTGTTTTAGTTTTATGATAAAATTTTGCATAATAGCTTGAGACATATTTCAAGTTTCTACAGAATCGAGTTTGGTTTTTGTTAGATGCAAAAGCTCTCATATATTTTAATTACTTGAGATTCTCTTTTTGTAAAAGGAAAATGCACGGAAAGACTCAAAGTAACTTTTCATAAAGCAATACTTCAGCAAAATTATTATAGGTGTAATATAGTGCGCGCTGCGTTTCATAATATGTAACGTATTATTGTATTAATCTCAAAGACTATTGAAGTGCATGTCTGAGCGTTGAGACATTTCTAAAAGCTCTTTTCCTATGTCAGATTTCCTTGCAGTTATTATTAGATTTCATTTCCATTTCAAGGTTATTTTGATAATCTTGTCGTTCCAAAATTCGTGGTCTGTTCTTTGATGAATGGGAAGAAATAAAAATCGGTTGTATCGAAACTGCACTGCGTCAGAATGTTCCACCAAAAGGCGTTAGAAGTGTTATAGAATATAAGCACTTGTGAAAGGGCGAATGTTATCAAGGAACTATAAGCATTTTATTAGCAGGTAGGTGACCTATCTCATGACATAAATCTTTGAGGTATATTAGCTATATTACTTGTTCCTTTTCATTCCAGTAAATCGACGGACACAATCAGTGCACAGTTTCAATCCCAAAACACGACAGCACTTTGCCACAAGACAAAGTAACGCTGAATTTTCTGATTCGTGGGAAGCTCGGTTTTTATTTGATTTCATAAATCTACGCTTGGATTCAAGTTACTATATTGAATCCATATAACCAGTAACAATGCATGGCAGAAAATTGTGATTATGAAGCATATTTCAAGGATAGAAAAGCATTACCGATAAGAGGCAAGCCAGGGTTGACCGTAAGTTTTATGATACAAAATTCGAAAACTTTCTTTACTTCGGAAAAGAATTTCAGCTCTTATCGTGACTAAGAGAAAAAATAAGTTGCTTTGTTGGAGTTCAATGTATAGTGCGTTATATGGATATAAATCCTGCTATTGGCGGTAAAAATATTTGTTAACGAACTTTGCAATGTCTTGAAGCTTTTAATCGTGATTTAATAAAGACTGCATTTTTCATACCACTCATTTTATTGTTTCGCATCTGTACTAATACCACATATCATCAGTAACGAAATAATTTATTGGTATTGAAATGTATTGGTACATGCGTACGGTTCGTAATGAACTAATGCACACTTAACCGATGATAGTTTGATAAAATTTATTTTCTCAAATAAAACACTCTACTGTTCTGGGACTTTTCACAAAAGTACTCGTGCATCTCTTCTAAGTGTGAAGACCACAATCGGTAGTTGCCACTTAAAACTGTTAAGAACGTTGAAAACAAGACAATGTTAACTGCCTCAAATGCGTAAGCTCGCATAGTGATCTCTCAGTACTCAATTCGGAACTAAAACTTAAGCTGATTCTCACTTCAGTCTAATGTAGTTTTCCCCCGTCCGGCAAGAAATTTCCAAAACTTTCGATTTCTCGAAATTGCTGGAAAGCATACGCAGTTGCAGTTGCATAAGGATCAGACCAGTTCCAATTATGGAAAAAAGACTAAAATGTCGACAAAATTAGCGACTTTTATCGATTTCAAGAGAAATTTGGCTACAAAAATTAGTAAGCCGTTAAAACCATCGCCAGCTTGCGACAATCTCGCCGATTGGCGAGATTTAACCTGGATTTTGAATGGACATACTCCTATTACGCTGTTTTCCCAGTGATGGTTCGCCCTCTTGAGGCATTACATTATATAAAATATCATATATACAAAATTATTAGCAATATTATGAATTTCACAAATTTATAATTTGCATAATACTTAAAATTCAAGTCGCATGTTAATGCAGCCACACAACAGAAAAGAAAAGACTATTGAAGCCACAATCGTTTGCTTCAAACGCATTAATGAGGAAACCAGAGAGTAAATTTGTATAAAACTTTTACATGTTTTAATAAACATAATTAAAAATACACACATTTTTATTATTTGGCCTTTGACCTGACTATTAATAACCATATAGGAATCATTTATTTTTCTTTCTGATTCTGTTTCATATTTTCAGTTACATTATGTAAAAATGCCGAAGATGCATTCTGGTTAATTTACAAATAACATTCAGGTATACATTTTCATTAGATACATGAATGAATATGAAAACTTCAAAATATAGGCATATTTAAAAGGCTAAAGCATGAAAATTATTTTATATCATATCAATATATCAAATAATTATAATAATAATAATTGCATTGCAATTCGACAGCGTTTATTCCCTGATTTAAGTGCAATTAAATTTCAATTCGAATTTAAAACTAGATAAGATTAACTTTATACAAATACTAATAAAGTAATATGTTACTGCTAAAGGAAGTGGTCGCTGTAGAACGATAATTGTCAAAACAGTCATGAAAAGGATTCATGCACATAAGGAATTATCATAATGTGAGGAAACTTTAAATAAATGCTTGTTCTCTTAGCGAGCTTAAACTACTAGACGTTACCAGAATGTGTAAGGAATTATCCCTAAGTATGACAAATTCCAGAGAAAGGCTGTAATGAACCCTTTACTAACTATTATTCCCAGATAGCACAGACTCGGCCTTACAACAGCCAACACTGCCAACTCTTAACTCAAAAGGTAACAATTAACTTCAAATCAAATAGAATTAAGCTATTAAGTTAGTCTATGACCTTTTCAAAGGTTATTTAATTAGCAGGCAGGCTATGACACTTAAATTCAGCGTAAGCAAGCCTAACATCTGGAAGAACTCAACACCGTAGAAATCTAATCGCTAGTAAACCAAAGTTAGCAACGTGGCCTTCAGGCAGGCAAAACACGCACTAAATCCACCTTCCAAAGCCCTCCCTAAAACTTCTTATAATAAAGTTATACTACTTCTTTCTACCTCATTCTGAACACACGCGCGCTAACTCATTTACATTCTGGCAAGAAAGCTTAGGTTGAAAACGAGAGTGATGGGAAAGGTTGCTTCAAAATTAAATTTACTGTTAAGCAACATAAAAAATCCCCACAAAGTTCTACAAAGGAATTTAAACAGGAAATCATTTTGCCGCGTGGTTCTACTATATTATAGGACAAGAGTGGTGAAATGGACTATAACTTAGGCTATAATACTTTAAAAAATAAAGTAAAAAATATTGTTTTTAAAATGTAAGCGAAGTACTGTTAATTAAAGTAAAATGTAATTAATATTAAAGCCATTAATTATACTTAGTCTTCATTCTGTAGCATTTAAATGTGTTAGCCAAATTAAGGCTTTAAAGATACGATCTCCCTAATTTTTATTTTAAATGTTTCCTCACTTTTATTTATAACAAATTATTTTTTTCCATCTATAATAACTGCATTGATTTGTTGAATTTAGTCGCTCATGCGTTTATTTTTGCCTATATTTCCTCAAAAACTATATCTTCTACATACATTTCACTGCTTCATCATACAACAGTAAGAAAAACAAAAATTAGATGTTTGCAGGAAAATAATATTATTGTTAAAAAAAATTGCTTTAAAAATTGTTTTGAACAAATGTAAACATAATAAAAAATAAGCATTAGTGTAAATCAGCTTACATATCCGTGAATCGTTAAATAATTGCTTAATTACGGTAAGATACGTACGCTGTTTAGGAATGAATCAAAGGTTCCCAGAAGTTAAAAAGGATACAGTAAACACTAAAAGCTTTTTCGATTGCTTAACATTTTCGTGTATGAAGGTTTAAGGCTTAATTTAAGTATGGAACATATAAATAAATTAGAATAAATATGCATTACGTATTCTAAAATATTGCTAAAAAATGTAATGTGTCTTTTGGATGGATGGATTAAAACTATGCAAATTTTACTGTTTATTTGACATATAAGCCTTCTTTTGAAACATACAAGGTCTTTCAAAACTTTTATTTTTGCAAAATGATAGCTAATTGATTAAAAGCATTTCATAAATTATTTGCTTATTTACCATGTTTACAGAAATACTTGGTAGTGGTGATATTTAAAATAACTTTTTTCGATATGGA